AAAGGTACAATTTACAAGATCTTTGGAAGTGAGGATATTAAGTAGGGTGAGAAAAATCCCTTACCCTAAATAGTGCTTTTGGCACTTGCTGTTGCTCAGTAAGTGTTTATGTATATGAAGAACCCTTTATCTTTTTATTTTTGATCTGTACTTCATCAAGTTGGGATTTTTACTTCATTGGCTTGGTGTCTGTGTTTGCCGAGGCCATCTGATTTTGCTGTTCTGTGTGTCTTACAGAACACAGTACAGCTTTTAGGAAGAAACCCCGCCTTTCTCAGCAGAACAAAGAGGAGCCTCTCTATACAAAGATTAGAAGAAACAGTTGCCTGGGCTGCTGTGAATTTGCATACCCTGCTCGGGCTATACACAAGTGCTGTCTGAAGTGTTTTGCAAGCCCTGATGTGTCAGGTGAACAGCACGCTGTGAACTCCAGCTCTCTCTGCAGCCTGCGGTGGTTCGGTTTTTGTGTGCTTCCCTTCTCTGGGTGTAAATGCATCCTTTTGCTCTACGGGAGAGACACGTTCCTGCTTTTTCTGATGAGGATATGCTGCGTCCCTGCTGGTGAAGATGCTGAGCCTGTTCCTCTGGTGCCCAATCCAGCTCCACAGCCCTTGGCTGATGGCAAGTGCCCCATTTGTCACTTTGCATTAGCATCAGCAGATCTACTGTCCCCTCTTCAGACACCTCCTTGTCATGACTTCTGAGTAAAGCTGTTGGCAGTGTCCTTGCTCCACTACTACTTGCTGAGACTGTAAGAAAGTCACTGTTCCACTTTACTGTTGGTGCACTGGCTCTTCAGCAGAGCTCTGCCGTCGCCTTACCCTTACAAACAGGTATCAGTACAAGTAGTGCCACGGGAATCCTACAGCTGAGTAGTGCTGGTTGGCATGTGGTCCCTATATAAGCTGTGGAAGAGCTTATTTCCTTGTTTAAAGGAATTCATGGGAATTTTGTCATCCTTGAAGCTGGAATCTGAAAGATAGGAATGATGTGGTTGATCTGTCCAACGAGGATAACGTAATAATAGAGCTTGTGATATGGCAGAGATGGGTAGGAGTCATATTCCCAGTAAAATTGTGGGGTGGGAGTAAATTCTTACAGTAGAAGAAGTGTATGCTTATGAGGCTTAAAGTCATCCCCCTGATCAATGCCTCTTGTTTTCCTCTGCTTGTTATCTCCCTTTCCTCTTAGGGCAGCCACCTCTGTGGCAGACAAAATAAGCTGTATGTCGTCTTTGGTTTTCTGTCTTCGGTATACATCGTGGTATGCTTTGCCTCCTTGCTCCTAAAACATGTATTTTACCTCTCTTATGTTTATGGAGCTCATTGAAAAAAGTCTAGACTCAAGAGTAAAGGCATTTTTGTTCATCACAGGTTTCAGATGACCTCATCTAGTCCTCCCACATCAAACGGCTGCGTGAACTTCTGTGGTGCTCCATGACCAGTCACAGCTTTGAGGTCTACACACAGAGCCATGAGCAATATGTTCTCTGTGCAGATGCTTTCTCAGCCTCCGGAGACAATTTCTTTATCTGTTAAATAGCTGTTGTTATGCTGTCATGATCCATTCTATGTCAGGGTTTTGTTGTGGTTTTTTTTTCCCCCCACAAGCTATTAATCTGTCTAATTGCTTAAAAACATCGCCTTCAGCTAAGTTTAGGGACTCTGTCCTTCCTTTTGGAGTTGCTACTGCACTTTATCTCACAGTGTGGGTGTTGGATGCCTCCCAGCATTGGATTGTAGCTCCTCCGATCCAGTGGGGGTGGAGTAGCAAAGGAAGGGATTTTCAAGGTGCATTTATTACCAAAATAAACCAGATATACATTTTGCTTGTATACTTGTGTGTTTGTTTTCATAGATCTGACTCGTCTGAAGAAGTCTGGTTCCTGCTTCAATTCAGTCAAGTCCTTTTCATAATAACTTTTCCCTGTTATCCTCTGATGGAAGGGACTTGGTCTTTTGCCTAATGGCATCCCAAAGTTTGTCAAGGCAATACTTAGTGTCCTTACCCATAGCAGGTCCAGTTCTTCAGTGTAAGTCAAACCTGATACGTGGGCTTTTCATCACAGCCGCTGTTTGAGCCCTTCTCTGTCTCTTCCCTGTGTGGTCGCATTATGAAGCTGGGGGTAAGCAGGAGGGCTCCTGTATGCCCACAGTGTGAAGGTACACGGCTGTCACAGGGGGCTGTTTTTGCCATGTCGGTGTAAGTTTTTTATCTCAGTGCTGTATTTCTGTTTTCACCTTGTAGAAAGGAGATCACTATTCAGTTCCGTGGGGTTGAGCGGGTCTTTGCACAGTGCACATCTTATGTGTCCGTAACTTTAACCAAGAAAACTCCTCCGCTGAGCTTTAATCCCACTCCCACTACTGTTTTGCAGGCAGTTATTGTCTCTGTATTTTAATTTTTCCCTTGTGCTGAATGTTGCTTTGCTTCTTATTTCATTCCTTCTTCACATCCTCTCTGTCTGCTAAGCCCTTTCTCCTTCCATTTTCCTGCACCCGCTGCTCGAAGCCATGTTTCAGTCTAGCTGATTCATTGCGAGAAGCACAAACTAAGAGCACTTAGTAGGTAGGTGTTAATCAGGCAATTAGGAGAAAGTATTAAAGAAACAGTGGATAAAATTAATCTGTAGTGCAACTCAGATTTGCTGAAATTCTCAGGTGTGAGGCACCGCTGCTTGCTGCCAGGGTAACTCCTGTTAAATGGCTTTAGCCCTAATTACCACCAGCATAAATGAATTAAGGATCAAGTTGGCATCCTAGTTTCATGTTTATCATGAAAATGTAGGTGATATTTTAGGAGCTCAGGAAGGCATCATTTTCAAATGTATTTTTTCCTTGTTGTCTGCAAGTTTCTGGCCGCTGGTATAAGTGTGTACCGACAGCAATCCGTCAGCCTCCCCCACTCCCAGGAGGCTGCTTATTAGACTTATGCAATGCAAGATATTAAACCCACTTTTGTCTGTCACACAGCCACGGGCAAGGGAGGGGGAATTTGCCAGTTGCTAATGGATACCTGGAGTTTTTGTGTATGACCATGAAGAACAGCTTGTGCACTTTCACCCCCGATGTTCCCTGAATAGCTCGGGTCTCATTTAGGTCAATAAGCCTTTATCAAAACGTCAGGAGTGAAAAATGTGTCTTGGTGTAAGCCGACTGGTCCTTCCCCCCAGTCACCGCAGTCTATAGGACCATCAGTGTTCTCTGAGCTTGTCTGCGTGTCACGCAAAGGGCTGGGTGACAGTGACCATTGACTGCGTGTCTGTCACATTGTCTTTGGCACAGCCCCCATTTGCATACTCGCCGGTGTGCCCGTCAGCCAATGAACCAGGGAGGGCCTTTAAAAAACATAGGCGCACAACTCCGATGCAGATTTCCTGCGCAGAGAGTACACGCTGCTTTAAAGCACAATCCAGGCTTTCACGTCCCACCTTCTTGCTATGAAACCGAGACTGCCATCCTGACAGGTGCCTGCTCCCAGTGCTGCTGGTGGCTGCATTGTGCCAAAACACTAACTTTTCTCTGGGTTTTTCTTTGCCTACCATGATGATGTTTTTTGTTGTGCTTTTGCTTTTGGTAATCGCTCTGGGGGATGTCTGAACAGCATTATCTGGGCTGTCCCGTAGGATGAGAGGCCATACATCCCTTCCTCAAATGAGTTATCCTGAATGAAGGACACTTTCTCCTCCCTGTGTGATTGCTGTTGGCTCTTGTTAAGGGAGTTTCCTCCGTGGTAGCGATGACAGGAGATGTATGAGCCTTCTGCATACAGAAGAGTACTGTTAGAGTTTATTGACCTTGTGTGTGAAACGAATACAATCACTGAGCAGCAAAGATGGCCTCTGCTTTATTCTGCTGTGACAGTTTGTGCTGCTTTTGGCTGGGAGAGAGTTAATGTTCTTCATAGTGAAAACTGTTCAATAATAGTCCAATTAAAAAAAAAAAAAAGGTGAAGGGTTCTGGTGGATCATTCCAGAATGAAGCTGTAGAAGAGATTCTTGGATCTGAGCTTCATGTTTATTGCAACCAACAATCTGGACAATTTCATGATATCTTGAAAATCTGACTGGAATACAAGAGATCATAAACAGTAGTGATAGCTGTTCTGCTGCATCGGGCATCTTACACGGGTATGGGATTGTCACAGCTGAGGGAGAGGGTCCTGCCTAATGGTCTTCTGGCTTTTCTAGAAGTGCCACAGAGTCAAACTTAACACTGTGATGCTCCAAGATGAAGAGTTTGTTACGCCATCAAGAGACTGGAGTTTTAGAGCCACGAAAAGATTACAGTGAAATCAACTGATGCATAATGTTTTTTCCCTCTTTTTGCTGTACATGGACCTATTATTTTACTCAATATTCAGGGCAAAGTCACATACATTTTTGAAGCTAATAATATGACTCCCATTCATCTTGACTAGACGAGGATTGTATCCTGTTCATTTCAGTTAAAAAATCGTCATAGGTACCATCCCGAGTCCTGTTTGCCAGTCTGTTACGGAGAACAGCAGTGAACCCTGCAGAAATGTGAGGAGCCTGCGTGAAATGCTCAGGAGCATGTTGTCTTCTCTGCAGTTACTCTTGATATCAAATCACTCCGTGAAATAAGCAGCTTTCTCTTAATCTGTGTTATCCTATATAACCATGATACCTGATGATGGGTTTCTCTGCTTTACTCTTTCCGTATGCCATGTGCTGTGTGTCTCTAATTACAAGCCCCTGTTACCATTCCAATGAGATTTTGCTGTTGGCTCTGATAGAGAATGTGTCCAGTTATTAATCAAGTTGGCCAAGAAGGAAGTATTGCATCTCCCTGATACTCGAGGAAACTATGCTGAGCATGCCATGCTCAACCGGTCTGTAGACAAACCAGGTTTATCTGCACACTGAATTCCAAATGCAACAGAACTGTATTTTATTTTAACATTTCCTAACACATTCTGAAAAAAGATGAAAGATGTACAGTAGAGAATTAACCTGGCTCCCTGTCTGTTTCTTTTAGGAAATTGTACTAGTGGTGTTCTTTGGAACAGAATACGTGGTTCGGTTATGGTCGGCAGGATGCCGCAGTAAATACGTTGGGATATGGGGAAGGCTTCGTTTTGCTAGGAAGCCCATTTCAATCATTGGTGAGTATGCACAGCTTGCAAAGTTGACAGAAACAATAAGTAAAACTTGTCCTTGGAAGTGTTGAGAAGTGGAATTTCTGCAGCATTTGAAGCCAAGTTAGGGCAAGAGCTCTTGTCATTAGCGTTAATTAAGGTCTGAATTTCCTTTCAGGAGTCTGTGGCACTGTCCTTTGAGAACAAATGTAGCTTGGTTTGTTTTTGCAGAAGATCAGAGTGTTTTCTTTTCACAAGTGATCTGAAGCTTTGCCAGAAATGAGTCTTGGCCATAGTCCTGTCTCCTCTGACCTCAGGATCCCAGACACTGTACAATAGCTACAACTAAATTTTTTAAAAGATACCGAGCAGCCTTTTTTTTTTTTTTTTTTTTTTTTTTTTTCCCACCCCCCTTTTGAAATTAAAAATTTTTTTTTTTTTTTTTTTTTTCCCAGCAGCCATTTGAATAATTTATTACGAGTTTATTTTTGCACTCTAATTGAACTACGTACTGCATAGTGGAGCATGGTAGATGCCCCATAGTTACTTAGTGTATCTATGGGATTAAAATATGGTTTTCAGTAATGCGTTTGGAACTGGGCACCTGACTACCCTTGATATTCGCAGCAGTTGTCTGCCTAGTGTGACTTCAGTGTTCTTAGAAATTACAATCATAGATTCTATATATGTCACAAACCATTAATTTTTTTTTAGAATGCTTGTCAGGCATTTAACAATTTCACTGAGAGAAACATAATAATCCCAGATCAATTCTGTATTTTGTTAGCCAGTATTGAGAGAACTGTGCAAAGACCCTTGCCCTGAAGCACTTAAAATATAAATGGATTCAACAAACCAGATTTGGGAAGAAGAGTATTGTTATAGAAGCATAGTAATTCTTTTTCTGTGACGTAGTTTTTTCCACTACTCATTATTTGTTCTTGAGTAGAGGATATAGTTTTTCATAAGCTATCTAGAGTTTTGCTGAATATAATTGCAAAATTTTGTACCTGGGTATTTTTGCAGTCATAAAATCGTTCTCTGTGCATATATATAACTAACAACTGTATCTCAGGTGTGGCTGTAGCTATAAAATGGCATGCCATGCATGATGTGGAATAGACCATTGGCCAATCTGGGTCTCAGTCCTAAACCTGAGGTCGAATCCCAGGCTAGTAACTGGGGCTGTGCTCCCTCCCAGCTTCTCCTGCCCCTGCAGACACGGGCACAGCAGAGAAGCTGGAAAGTCCTTGACTGTCCTGGCAGCAGCTGTAACCATCAGTGTGTGATCAGCTTCTTCTCAGCACAAATCCAAACACAGCCTCTTGCTAGCTACTGTGAGGAAAGTTAATTCTGTTCCAGCCGTAACCAGGACACCCAGATCTGTTTCAAGAACTATTTCATTCTCCAACATACAGAGTTCCTTTCCAAAACTAAGCCTGAGGCACAGATATTGAGAGTGCAGTTCTAGGGTAATGACTGAGTTAAACTAAAGTAGACTCTTAAACTAATTCCAATTTTTCTCTCCCTTTTAGACTTGGACAGATGAAATAATAGTAAGACAATTGTCTTAGATATGAAATAAACCCCAAAATCTCTGTTGATTAATAAAATGCTGTCTAAAACAGCAGAAAAAATCAGATACACAGAAAAAATAATAAGTAGAAACTGCTGAAATTCCCCATGGGTTATAGCTGATAAGGATTCCAGGCTGCTGAGGCTACTTTACGGTAACTCATATCACTCTCGTCAGTCATCTAGAATGTGGCCATCTCGGATCCATCCCAGTAAAACCTTTCTATCATATCACACAGTTTTATTTTCTTTATATGTTACAATAAGGATCTCTTGATATATAAACAAAAAGCTTAATTTGGAGTGACTGTTCAAACAGTTAAAATAATATTGGCATTGGTTCTAGTAACAGTCTTACAGAAGTGTTGCAAGATGCTACTAACTCGTGGTTTCAATGGACTTTTATTTTCCAGATTTAATTGTAGTTGTTGCTTCCATGATAGTTCTTTGTGTGGGCTCTAAAGGTCAAGTCTTTGCAACCTCAGCTATCAGGTAATTGCATGCAATAAAAGAAAATAGTGCTGGCTGAGTAAGGTGGGGGTTTTGTTTCCTTTTTTACCTCCTGTTTCAGTTCTTGCAGGAGAAAGCAGGTCACTGCTCAGAGACATGTAACAGAGCAGGTCACCCATCACCTATGAGTGTGAAACAGTGATTCCATTAAGTGTAGGGGAAATAAAATTTTGTGTTTGTTGTCTGGTCATGATGCGTTTATGTCTGGTGGGGACAGAGGTGCACATAGCCCTGGCCCCTTCCCCAGCTAGGTGGGTTCTACTCGAAACCTCAAATTGGAATCCTAGTTCAAATTGCCTATGAAATTCCTCAAAGGTGAGATCTTTAGTTAGCTGTTCCTGTATGGTGTTTGCCATCCTGGCAAGCAGGTCAAATATGAGTTGGTGAATGATTTCGAGAGCATTCCCAGTTTGTGTCCAAAATTCCAGAATCTTTGAGTTATCCTTACTAGCCATGCCTACAAAGGTCTGTCCTTCTCTTGTGCAATCTCCCCATGCTGTCTTCATGGCAAACAAGATAAAAGATGGGTGAATGGAGTGAGAAGAGACAGGCTGCCAAGTCTAACATAAAATATTCTGTCTCTCTTAAAACAGTACTTTGGAAGGGACAGACTTCTCCTCTCCACCTCTGTTTCTTCTCTTGTCTCTTTAGTCCCTTCATTAATTTAAAAATTGTGTTCCAGGGGCATCCGCTTTCTGCAGATTTTACGCATGCTGCATGTTGACCGTCAAGGTGGTACGTGGAGACTGCTGGGATCAGTAGTGTTCATACACAGACAAGTAAGTTGGAGTTCTCTGAGGAATGGCATAATTGATGCAAAAGTCCTTTTCTTCAGAACAGCACGGATGCAGACGTGCTAATGATGTCAAATATATTTGGGGTGGAAGCAGGCAGTCATTTATTTTAACCAAGTATGGTTGTTCTGCCTTGTTCAAGGGTCAAAAAGTTCCTAAAAGATTAACAATATTCACCTCTACTTTGGCAAATTTTTGCCTTGTCGTTGGACTTAATCACAGAAAATGACATTTCTGAAAAGTAGTCTGAATATTTCTAAAAATATGTATCGAAATTCCCAATTTGCTTTGAATGTGGCACTGCCTGAAAAAATTACCCAACTACTTTTGGGTGATCAAAAGGTGAATGGGTCACGCTTGCAAGCGAGGAGTTGTTTTGACTCTGTATTTGAAAGGTGTGCTGGACCAAGTCATCAGCTGTGGTGTAAATTCTTTCACCGTTGAGCTCGGTGGATTTTTGTTAATTTGCACAGGCAGTGTCAATGTTTATTAATTACTGAAATTACATTCTGTTGTTCCAATTATCTTTTAAAAAACATCAGCGATGCGTAATTTAAGTGTCTGAATAATATAACGATGCCGGTATTTGGATTCTCTTTGCAGGAACTGATAACTACACTCTACATTGGATTTCTGGGCCTGATTTTTTCCTCTTATTTTGTGTACCTGGCTGAAAAAGATGCTGTAAATGATTCTGGAGAAACAGAGTTTGGCAGCTACGCAGATGCCCTGTGGTGGGGAGTAGTAAGTATAGCGATTTCACATGTACTGAAAGTAGTTAACACCTCCACATGTGGAGTAAAGTTCAGGCAAGCATGAAGTAAGAGCAGCGCTTTGAAATGGCCTCTTACTGCTTCAGTACACTTTCTGGTTTTGTAATTCTGTGAAACTAAGAAAATACTACTAGATCATCAGTAGTTTTATTTGGTGTTTATAGTTTTATGTGATCCAAAGCCATCAAATTATGTATACAAGATGTAGAAACATCTTTCCTTCCCTCTTTATCCTGTCTTCCCTCTGTGATAGTGACTTCTTCTTGCCACCTTTCTCATGGCAGGGTTCAACCTTCTAAGGTGGTAAGACTCTTGCTAAATCAGGACTAGTGTTTTGGGGTTTTTTTTTTTTGTGTGTGTTTGGGATTTTTTTTTTTTTTTTTTAACCAAACAGGTATCTGTGGTTTGCAATTTGCCCTGGGACAGTAATTCCCTGTTTATTCACCATTAACTAATTCCAGAACAAGGAGCATCTGAGATAATTAAGAAATCCAGGCACAGGACTGTTTCAAAGTGATTATATTGTTTAGAACCCACTTACTACCCTCATGTCGCATTCATCTGTGCTATGTCAACGTGCCATCATGCCCAGAGATTTCTCAGGTTGCTCTAAGGTGCTGCCACACTTTGGTGTAGGTGTATCTTTAGTTCTGCTGATAAAATAGTGACAGTTGCTGCTGATAAAATAGCTGGTGACAGCTGTGTCTCTCTTTTCATCCGTTATATGTACTTACTAGTCTGGTAGCTCTATTCAGGGATTGCATTTTAGTAAACATTTTATTTTTGTCACTTCTGCTAGTAACAATTCCCTCTTTCTTTTCTCGTGTGATATGCAAATACTAGGCTGCCTGCTCTGGTCTGGGATTTCCCATCTCTGATTGTTTCCCTTTCCTTTTCCTATTACAGTTCAAAGGAAGGGACTTTTTGGAAGCTGTTTTTCTTTATCATTAGCATTCAAGCAATGACTTGTTTTGATCCGCTTTAATTGCGTGTAGCTTAATAAAACCAACTGTTGTCATGAAGTGCTAGAGATCTCTGCAGTGCATAGGCATCACTAACAATTCTGCGCTTGCGGTTTCCAAACCTGCTGGTCTTCTAGAGCCTTCTCTTTGCTCTTTTAAATCAGAAGGCATTGTTTCTTTTTTCTTTAAGACTGCTAGTAAGTCTTATGTACAAGAACAATAGGACTAACACCTGTTTCACTAGTAAAACATATATTTTTTTAAGAAATATTTTTGATAAACCTCTGTGTGTGTATGCTTACGTAGTCTTCTCTCTGCAAACAGTACCCCTTGCTGTTTCAGGAAGGAAAGGTCTATTGATGAGAAGTGTTTTGCAGGTATCCTGGTGCTGAAATGCATATGTAGCTTTTTTTTTTTTTTTTAAATACAGCAGGTTTTGTTAGGTTGCTGCTAAGATCTGCTGCAGAATTCTTTCCTGTTGCTCTCTGCCACGGTTAAATCCAGCCTCTCTTAGGATCAGAAAACTTGCTGTGTGGCTCAAGGAAATGGCTTTCTGGCAAGTAGCTTTTTTTCAGTGCTTTCATTTCATCCTGGTGTTTTTATTTTCCAGTACAGTGGTCAGATGACTTGGTAATTAACAGTGACAGATGTAGCTGCATTTAAAAGCACATGCTGTCATTGGCGTCGGCATTAAAAATTGAGTGTGTGACGGGCCAGATTGGCTTACTGGAAATACAGTGAAACCAGCAATACAATCTGTCAGGATAGCGAAATATTCGCCTTTCAGGGAATTATTGCTCAATTAATAGGCATGCCAGTTATTTTGTCTTTCTAATTAGAATAAACCTGTGTAATCAGTAAGTTTAATAATGATAATATTCTTTCTCTGTTGTAACTTCTATTATGTTGCATCATGCCCCTTGAAGTGTGACACTGCATTCAATGAACCCATCATGTCATTTCTTTAACAATAAAAATACAATTTGGTGTCCTTGTTCTGCGCTAAATGCAGATGCTATGCTTCTGATAACTGCTAAAAGGATTTAGCAAAACAAAACTGAAGTGGATTCAGGTCCATCCATTTCTGGTGGTTTGATACTGTGATACTAAAAAAGCCCTGTGAGCTAAGGACAGTAACAGGGAGGTCATTAGGTGTCAGGTAGAGAATACTTCTAAAAGAAAAGTACTTGATAACATTTTCCCACCCCCTTTCTCACTCTGCAACATCACACTTTTTGGTGTATCTCAGCATACATACGTCTGCGCTGCTAAACCAGTCCTGCGGGCAGGGCGGCAGAACGTGCAGCGCAGCACGCAGTGCACCCTGGGGAAGGTCTGTGTGACCCAACCGAGCTGCATCTGGAACTGGGCACTTTTATATTGCTGTGCTTTGTTGCCTGTAGACGTACCCATAGGGTGCATAACTTTTAATTAGATGTTCTTCATTGTCATTGTTGTTATTTATAATCTATACTGCTTTTCCATTTCCATATGCAAATTGGCCTCCTGGGCTTTATTTGCATTTCCTTGAGAACTCTGGCCTGTAGCTATTTGTTGTTCCAGTTTATGGGTTTCTTGAAGAAACTTAAGGTTACCTTGTGGCATAGAGTAAGGATCCATCTGTATTGTGCACGACATTCAAAACCAGCAATAATGTATAAATAATTCTGCCAGCGGCTGCATATCTGTAGGTCTTTCAAAAGACAACTATAATATTTGCAAGTAGAATACAAGTAACATGATGCATCGTTCAGATCCACACTGCAAGTGTTCAAAATTAGTCTGCTTATATTGTCCTTCACGTTCAGACTAACAGTCTTATGGACCTAGGATAGATTCTGGACAATAAAAACAAGGATGAAAAAAAAAAGCTGAAAAAATAAGGTGCTAAATGTTCTCACCAAATCTATCAAAGATGCCCACCTTCAGAGAACCTTATCAACTCACCGTCTCTGTTTTGGTTTTTTTTGGTGTGATGGTGGGGGTTTTGGTTTTTTGTTTTAGGGGAGTTGTTTGGGTTTTTTGGGGGGGTTGTGGTTTTTTTCCCCCTCTCTCCTTTAAGCATTAAATGTAGTCATGCCTCAGGCGGACTGAGGGGAGCTCTCCTTTTGACATCCACTGAATGATGCACCATTTCCAGCCTTCCCACCTGAACAAACATCCTTCAGGAAAACTGTTATGTGGATTGTGCTAACAGTCTCTTTGATCATGAGCAGTATTTGCCACAAGCAAGCGCTGAATATAGCCATGCGTGGATATTACACTGTGCTAGGTTCTTTGAATCAGTTTCAATTGGATCAAGCAATTGTCTGTAAGTACCAGCTTTAGTTAAAAGTGTCTTATTTCTTTAATTCATTGATACATCCTTTCTCACCAAGGACCAAATTTCAACAAACCGTTGATAAGTTCGCTTGCTTCTAAGCATATGTAAAACCATGCTCCTATTTAGCAAAGCCCATCAGTATGTGCTTAATGTAAACTGAAAATCAAAATTGTGGGAAAGCTTTGCTGAAAAGGTGGAGGAAATACCACTTGAAACTACACTTGCATAGAACTTTTTCTAAATTAGATGTGATTTAATTTATAAATAATTGAACATATATTGGAAAATTGCTATATAAAAGGGATCTTGTGTGATACAGAACCCTTTTTTGCCCCTTCTAAACTAAAACAGCTATTGCTACTGTACATTGAGTTCAGTGTTAGACAGAAAGTGACACTTCGTTTTTATTCTTTTTGTAGTTTGCAAGTCAAGAATATGAACTATAGGCCTGTTATATCCTACAGGAAGGAAAATTTAAAAAAAAAAAAAAGCTCAGACGAGCCCCAACACTTTGCCTATACCTTCACTAATATTGAACAGTTCTCCCTATTTTTATGCAAGCTTGTGTCATGTATCTTGTCATCCTTGAGCACTGCTGCCAGGATGATCCAGGGGATGAACAGACTGTTTTACAAGAGCGGATGAGAGCAGCTTTTATTTGTGAGGCTGAACACACTGAGAAGGAGATTCAGTGGCAATCGCAGAGTGCTGTGTTGCAGGTGTGTGTACGGCAGGAGGAGAGGGGGATGAACTGAGACCGTGAAATGGTGGGACAGAAAAACAAGGCTGGAAACCCATCTGTCAGAAAGGAAGACAGGAGCTTACAAGACTGTCTGGTGTACCATCAAAAGCCTGAGGTTCTGGAGTAACATCCCAACAGGAGCAGTAAGGGGAAAGCCAATTCATTTTCAGATGGAGTTGCATTTTCAAGAGAGAGTGAATGAGATGACGTAATGTGGCTGACTTGAACTGGCCAGAAACTAGGAACAGCAACCAGAAAATCCCTTCAGCCCCTGTGTTCTTACTGACTTGGTTAAAGCTGCTGTGGTCCCTTTGTTCGTTGCATAGAACAGACTTTGCAAACTTAGGTGAGCTCAATGCTCCCACTCAATTTTCCTCATTTTTTTTTTTTAAGACTCTTCTAGATTTATCTCCGAGATATCACAAATAGAGATGTTTAATTTGGGCCACCATTTGATGAGGAGGTTTACAGTGGTCAGTAATTTGGTTGGAACTGACTGATGGCTGAAAATGGCACCTTGAGGAGGTATTAAACTAAGATCCAGGAGCGATGGCTAGGCAGCACTGAGGATCTATTATTTGACAGACATGGCACTGAGGTTAATATATTCTGGTTTTGTGTTTGCAATTGGATGTGTAGTTCCATTTCATTTCATATCCGAAGTTACCAGAAGTGTTTCATTCTCCTTCAGATGTGGTTGTTTCTCAGTTATGGAAGGTGGCTTTCCCTTATTTGCTTTAATGCTTGGCTTTTTTAATCTTTTAGCTTCTGGGCCAGGCTGGATGAGGCTTTGGGCAACCTGGGCTAGTGGGAGGTGTCCCTGCCCATGGCAGGGGGTGGAACTGGATGATCTCTAAGGTCCCTTCCAACCCAAACCATTCTGTGATTCTGTGTTTGCTCCCTCAATCCTGTGATATCTGCCTCTTCAATACCCCTGAATTGTGTGTTCTTGTATTTTGTAGTGGTTTAACTACCCAAATTTTTGCAAGGCACACAGCAAGCATTTCATCACCAGAGTGTTGTTACTCCCCTGGTTAGTTAGTTATCAAGCCTGATAGCCTTGGATAAATCCCTTCCCTGTTCAGTGCCGATGAACATTGCTATTTCTTCTTGCTGGGTGGATTTTTGCTTCGTATTTCCTCTTGCAGACTCTTGATGGGTATTTAATAGGAACAAGATTAATCTTCATACCAACGCCTGTGGTGATATACATCAGATCAAAGTTCTGAAATAGTCAATGGGTGAACATGATTTTGTTCCTAATTAGAACAATTAGTTTTACATGCTGCTTTTCAATGAAAATTTAATGTGTGAGCTCTTGATTCAATTTAATTTCATTATGCCAACAGATTTACTATGCTAAAGTAGAAGTTGAGTCAGTATTTCCATTGTAAGATCCCATTTTACAACTGTAAAATTAGTACTGTACTCTCTAGGGGGTTATAATCTGGCTGTAAAAATTCACTTAGGACAGGAACTTGACATGTAAGGTTTCAACAGCATATATCTTGGGGAAAAAAGAAAATGTAATTTCGGAATACAATGCATTTGTAGATGGATTAGAGTTATGGGGACAGAGAAAAATATTAACTTAAAAGCACACTTTGATTTCCATCCCAATTTCCAAAATATTTTATTAAAAAACTCTTAAACATAAAGCACAGAAAATACTTTTCTTATGTCACTGCTGCTCCATGCAGAAGAGTTCAGAAGGGATGGGCAGGGTGGTGGTGGGAAAGGGGAGGCAAATACTTCTTAGTTGTGTATGAATCTTTCTGCAGTTATGCTTCAGTCAGCTCAACAGCACTTACTTCTTTTCACATTTCTAGTTAATGTATATATTTCAACATGATGTTAAGATCGTAGCACAGAATACTTGATAATCAACTTTTCAGTGACAAGGATTTGTAAATCTTTTCAAAAACTGAGGCATAAACCGCTAGCTTCTCTCATAAGCTTTTATGTAAGAAGGCCATTGCTTTTCCCGTAATTATATTTCCTTTTTTGTACCATATTTTTGAACAGGAAGTTGCAATCACAATTTAGGCTTTTATATATTTTTTTAACTGACACTCTTAGGTAGGTAAGCAGATAATGTCATCCCTTCAGTTCCTCGTTAGCCCTGAATTAAGGCGGTATTTCGACAACAATTTCAGGAATACAGGCAAAGGTACTTGGGTACTTAGCCCACTAATTCCTACAATACTTTAGTAGGATATGAAACAGTTTGGGAAATAAGCTGTATTTTAAAAACTTATATTAAAAATTAAGTGCTAATACTTGAATGCTTTGAGTGTCAGCAACTTGCAACAAACTTTTACCACCACCTGAAGCAGCTGGAGCTATGTCCTGTGTTGGGGACAGAGTGTGTGCACTCCCTGGTGCCTGGTACAGCAGAGAGGTGAGCTGGGAGCAGCTGCGGGATGGGTGGGGATGGCTGCGTACATCAGTGTCTGGGGCTAGTGTCCCCTGCGTCCGGGGCAGGCGAAGCCCAGACTGTCAGCAGAAAATCTGAGCAGCCAGCAATTGAGGTGTGCTTCAGCTGCTTGGAAGCTTTGTGGAGTTTCCCAGGCTCTGCTTTGGTTAGCCTTCTTCAGAGTCACAGATCAAAATCTCTCTAATTTCCAGCTTCAGCAATAGCCTGTGACATAGGTGAGTTTAAATTGCTCTCAGATGTCAGATGTATCCTTCTGCTTCAAACAAATCCATACTTTCCTTGAGTTCATGCAAATAATGACTCACTGAGCCTTGGTATGCTGCATCACTCAGTGGTAAGCTTTACTTCAGTGCTTTGAAACCCAAACTCCGCAGATGTTTCCTGCATGTGTGCATTAAATTATCTGTTCTTGCTCTCCACGTATTACGTGAATTAGTGATTCGTTAGACCATGTTTTCAGGATCTTTACAGCATGGAAATTTTTCAGCTTCTCTTGCTATTTATACCAGTATTATTCTCTAGAACACTTCGTGTCTGACCCCAGTCACAGTCCATGGTTACAGTGTATATATACATATATTTATGTGCCCTTTCTATGCAACAACCCTGTAATACCCTCAGCAACCACCTCCAGCCCATAAAGAAAATCAGCAACTCAGACCTGTTGGCTGCCTCCGCCTACGGAAGATGTACGACATGGACAGGCAACCCGTATCCCAGGAACTTCGTACGCTGTAAAGCTGTCTCAGCCGTGAAGACTTAATTAATGGTTTTACTTTACAAGATTTTAAACATGTCTTTTATTGTAAATAAATTTCCTGTGTGTTTTCTGATCTGGTATAGATGGGGAAGCAGACCTGGAGAGGAGAGTTACCTTCAGAGAGTTAGGAACGCTACTAATGTTTCTTTAAAATAAAAAAGTAAGAACAGCAACCCAAATGTGTGGCATTACTACTTACTGTAATGCTGTGTGTGTTTCTCTTTACAGGTGACTGTTACAACTATTGGCTATGGGGATAAAGTGCCGCAGACCTGGATAGGAAAGACCATTGCATCTTGTTTTTCAGTATTCGCAATTTCATTTTTTGCACTCCCTGCGGTAGGTTATCTTGTGCTCTTGACTTACTACTACTTTTTTGTATTAAACTTACATATTGTGGTTAAAATATACATAGCTTGTAGAAGCCAAAGAGCTTCTGTAAGTAGCTAAAAAAATTCGTATGCAGTGTGTGTGATATGCAACACTGGATTTTGTATGTGTTTGAGAAAGAGATGTTTAATTCCAAATACTTTTTCTGCCTGTCTCAGAAGAGTAAAGGAACTGATTTCTCATGCTAATTACTTCTGGACTCAGTGAGTTAGTGAAGTTTTGGCTTTTTAAGGCATTCACTCACAGTTTACTCAACTGATTAGGTTCAGGGTGAACTCATAGACATCCTTCTTCTAGCAAAGCTGCCGAAAAGGTGTCATTGGCAGAGAGACAACAAGAGGCAGCCAGGGACACTGATGCAGCTCTTTGCTAAATCTGTCCATGGCCAAAGTCACATTCCAAAGTGACCCAGGGTTGAGCTTTTAAAGGAGTTATGCCACGTTGTTTGTACTGAACAGAGGTTCCCAAGTACTTTCTAAGAAAAAAGGCACTTGAGTACCAAGGGTAAAATCAAAATTGGCAAACCTGGACTGTGGTTTGAAAACCCAAAACGCCCAGTGCCGAGGGCAATGAAGGGCATTTTTTTCCTCACAAATTTAGCTGAATTGTGCTGTTGAAATGTTGCTTTTTCAGTAATTTTTCAGTTCAGTGACATGAACGGTTATGTTAGCAGATGTTTAGTGTGGTTGTGGCGGGGGAACGGTGGGGCTAAGTACGGGATGGATGAGAAGAATAGTTTTATGCCAGTACCGTTGCAAAAATGCTTCACAGCATGAAATAGTAACTATTAAAACTCCAGTGGCTTTTTAAAATCAGTTGCTTACTTTAAAAGTACTCAACCCTTTGCAGAGGAGGGTAATTAAGTGACTTTAAGTGAAATGAATTTTTAGACTCTCCTGCATCATTTTGCCTTTAAAGCATATTCTTCCCCCCTCCTCATTCTAGTCTCTTTCACATTTATTCCTTGTTTAGAAGAGAGATCTGGTAAATGAAATGATCTGTAAGAAAAATGCCAAAAGCTACTATTTTGAATGAAAACTTGTTTTTTTTTTTCCCGTCAGACTTGAATGCCAGCAAAGATGTTTTATAAATAATTGTGTAGCAGCCCCACCTTGGCAGCAATGCTTTTATGTTTACCTGTCACGTTTCCTTAGTAGTTTGTAGGAGTAAAGGAACAACAAACACCCCTTTATCAGTGGGATTTTATTACTGAATTAAGTTGTTCTTGTGAGTTTGGCCCTAGGGGGAAATTTAGGGTTTGAAGCTCTAGCAGTACAGAGTCGATAGGTAGCAGCTAGTGCCTGCTGCCTTGTTGCTGTTTTAAATAACAGCGCTGGCTGAGATCACAGTCAGAAATCATTGTTGTGGGTAAACACAACTGCTCCGGGTTCTGGATCTAGCAATGATCCTTCACTTCTCAACTAAGTGATGTTTGAGCATCATTAACTCTTTGATCTTTGCTAAATGAACATAATAGGAAGGACCTTTCCTGTTCCTTTCAAAACACTGGATGATTAATACAGTTCTTAGAGGTTGAGCCAAGATCGCTGGCTGCTCTGGCACCTTGACTGCCGTGAGCAGAAAATGACTTACGCTGTTGTTGCGTAGGTGTAGTCGTGTAAACCTATTTGTAGAAGATTTCATTTTTATCTGTGTTACTAAAACCTCTACCTATGCAAATGACTACATAAATTGCTTGCTCTGTACATAATTTTGGACTTAATAGTTATACTACGTTTGGAAGCTGTTTTGGGTTGTACGCCATCCAGTGCCGTTAGTCCATGTCCCTTGTCCTGGGGTGGATTGGGTGGCCGTGTGTTGAACTCACTGAAGTCCCAACCATTTCATGATGTTTCTTTTCCTCTTCTTTGCCCTCCCCTCCCAGCATGGGTTAACATAAGGAAATAGAAATTACCATATTACAGTTAAAAGATCTTTCTTATGACCCAAATCATGCCATGCTAAAGCTTTATTTCTCAAAAACACGAAGTTAAGCACATCAGGTTAATATTTCTCCCTATTCTGTCATTCCCCTGCACAAGAATTTATGGGGCTTTTAGAGGGTATGAAATACCGTTTCTGCTCGCTCTTTAGCATTTGAGTCCAGCTGACTTAAGTAGGCTTTGGATCAGGACATGATAGCATTCATAGTTTGTTTCAACAAGTAATACTGACTGAGTCAAAAACGTAACAGCATTAAGTCATTTCCTCTAAATAATGAGTTGGGGTTTATGATGCCGAATAGAAGTTTATTAATACAACATAATTTGGCAAGCTTATGTGTGGTTTTTTTCCCCCTCTTAAAAAAAAAAAAAAAAAAAAAAAAATCTGTGTTTTCTTTCTTCCCACAGGGAATTCTTGGTTCAGGCTTTGCCCTGAAGGTGCAACAGAAACAAAGACAGAAGCATTTCAACCGTCAAATTCCAGCTGCTGCTTCTCTCATACAGGTACTGAGTTCCTGGTTTTGCATACTGGCATTTTTTGCATACTATCATTTATTTCAATTTATACTCTTTTTTCAAAACCCTTGGTAGTATTTCCATACCTAATCCCCATTAAAGATTGTAGAGGAGTTACAGGTGCAACTCTTTTAAACAGTTTTGGAAATCCCACCTTTAATGGTGGGTAAACTAATGAGCAGAAAAGTTCACTCCCAAATCAGTGCAAACTTTTAAATTCATCTGGTTAAAATAAAAACTGAAGGTTATCCTGTAGTTCTTGAACAATTTACCTGGGGAAAATGTTAGGAAATACTGTGCTTGCAATAGTGAAAACAGAGAGGAGGCTTCATGTAAAACTGTATTTTTAGAAAATACATTGCTGCTTGTAAAGCCAAACATCAGATATGCTTCGTTTTCCTTGGGACAAAAATTCTTAAAAATCTCAAATTTAGGAGAATTAAGTCAAAATGTTAAATAGGAAAATCTTGTCTGAACTTTTCAGCTCCAGGATAGGTGGCTGGGAACAACTGGGATTCTGCAAAATCAGTCAGGATACCATACAGGCGGGAAAATTTTGATCCCCTCTGTTAAAAACACAGTTGCAGTTCAGTGTCAGTGTAAGGTCAACGGGATTTTATCCTTTACTTCAGTGGAGCCAGCGTTTCACCCTGGAGAAGGATTAATATTGTTTCATTCTAGGTTTTTCCAGCTTTTCCTCCCTCACTCAGTATCTGCATGTGGCTTTAAAAGCCCAAGGATCAAATTGAAAAGAAATCTAGCTGTACACCTAAGCCGTATCATTTTTGCATTCTCGTATGAGTTATTTCTCTAGCTTCACGAGTGAATGTGGGTTTCCAGGTCGGCCTCTTTATGGAAACAGTAGCTAACTGTAAAGTTTATGCTTGAAACTAAACAGTCCCAGAGTTAATGTGAAAAAGGTTTAAATTTAGGGCTCTGGTTATAGCCAGAGATTAGCCAAAAACCTCCAGACTCAGTGTGTTTCATTTGGATTTCATGGGCAGGAAAAGGTATGGTTTTGCAAAGAATGGATTTTTAGTGTTCCCACTGATTCTTTTGGGAAATCAACCCCAAATTATTGGGAAGCCTGGGACTGCATGTCCAAAATGTTGTACTTGGCTCCATCTGAAATGTTAAGGAGGAGTGGAGCGTAGAAAATGAGTTGCTGACTACCTGTTCTTAGTAGTGGTAATCATGATTTACTAAGTCTCAGACTTCTAAAGCCCCAATTTAATAAGTGCTCTACAAATAACTTACAGAAAGATTATTCTTAAATGAAGAAGTTTATGAAATAAGTACAAGACAACAGCTGAAATGAGTGGTACTTTTTTCCTGTATTCCCCCTTGTTTTCTCCTAGAGGCCACTTGTTTCTAACGGTGTCCTGTTAACCATGGTGGGAATTACATGGTGATTGTCCCATCCTTTCCTTTCCAGCCGCTGCCTGTTTTCCTCTGTTATTCTGCCTTGCTTGCTGTCTTTCATCTACCGTTTTCTGGCCTTTTCCCACTTCAGATTTTGTGTGTGGATGCGAGTGTCCTTTTTTCATGTATCATGTGAGGATCTACCCTTTTAATTTGGAGACTAATTGTTAATCAACTCTGATATATTTACACGTCTGATACAGAATGCAGTGGTGTGTGGTCTCTGGTTGGTCCTGTTTCCTAGCCCTGCTTTTCTTCCTTTTTGCCTTAGAACGTAGTATTTTAATCCCTGGTGGCTGGCAGGAGGGAGGACTGGTTTTGGGTTTGGCTCCTGGTTAACCATTGGTGCTGTTCCCTCAAGCTCTCAGTCTTACTTCTTTGTCTGAATATAGCCCTACTGACCGCATCACAATTGCTTTTTTTTTTTTTTTTTCCTTCTGCTAGAACTCTTGTAAGGCAGGGAAGAACGATTTTTGTTTTTTGAGCAGGAGCCTGAAACACAGGATGTAAATAGGAAAATGTTCAAAGTCAGAGAGGGAAAATGGGGCAGAGCAAGCAATTCAACCCCAACCTTTTGAGTCCAGTTTAGAACTCTTTCTTATAATTTGTTTGTTGCTAATGTGAACAAAAGTTGCACTTGAAAAGACTGATCTTCCTTTCTGGTTTCCCCCGTTCAAACTGTGGTTTCTGTTTACTAAATAATGATTCTAAACAGTGCTGAGTTTATGTTTCCAGGGGGGAAATTCAAGAATACTATTGAATAAGGAATGACTAACGTGCTATTTGGGAGATACTTTGTAGCACAGATAGCTAGAAATCCGATTGCACTAATTGTTCTGTTGCTTAAAACATTTGTTCTAGACCGCATGGAGATGCTATGCAGCAGAAAACCCGGACTCTTCTACATGGAAAATATACATTCGAAAACCTTCCAGAAATTATCATTTGCTGTCACCCAGTCCAAAACCAAAGAAATCAGTGATGGTACCAGTAACTTAACATTTCCTATTATAGAAATTTAAATTTTTTAAATTAGATTGAATTTGTTTGCTCTCTAGAGGCTTTTTGTTGTGTTTGTTTTACAGTTTATTTTCGTTTCAGTTTTGAAATTTTCAGTATACATCCATTTTAAACTATAGCTCAGTTTGCTTCTGTTCCCAAGCTTGAGTTTTTAAATGGATCTATGGGTTTGGAGAACAGCAATAATGATCTAACCCAGGCACACCAATCAGTAATTTATTGTTGTTGTTTGCAAAGGAAAAAAGAAAATAACTATTTCTAAAAGAGTGACTTTAATTCGTTTTAAAAAAAACAAACAACAAAACTGCTGCTTCTCTCACCTATTGATTTTGTGGCTTTCTAAGCTTCTATGGTGAAGACATCTTGTGACTGTGTACGGTAGTGTTTTCATACCAACTGATCCCATAAGTTAAGAATTTTGTTGTTTAAAAAACCAGCAACAAAAAGCCTTGGTCAGAATCTTTAGATTATATAATACTTCATCCTCTCTCTTGTAAGAGTGCTGCACAGCAGCCTTGGGCTGGGAGGAGAGGATGTTGTGCAAAAAGCTTCCCTGGTATCCCAGGTTCGTCCGAGTTCAGCAGCAATATATCTGTTTGCTTTTTGCTGAAGGTATGATTGATTGCATCCATAAAATGGTAAAGATATTCTAGAATAGTGTGATTTATATGAGGTGTCACAGCACTAGCAGGTTTTTTTTTACTGCAGGGAAGGGATTTGCTATTGACTGTGTACAGAATTCCAGTGATTAGCCAGGTTTGGTGGGATGGGGGGTAACTGAGAAACGCACAATGTAGCGTCAGGAAAATGTAATCGGTCAGGCACTCTTTTGACTGGTTATAGCTCGTTAAGGACTGCTTTGTTATTGAAGGCATTACTGAAGAGACAACCAAATGTGGCTTGGTTTGAGTAATTCAGTGTATGTGTATTTTTAGGTTAAAAGGAAGAAATTTAAGTTAGACAAGGACAACGGGCCTTCTTCTCCAGATAGGATGTTAACTGTTCCACACATCACTTTTGACCACGTGTCGGAGGACAGGAAACCTGCTTTCAGTTTTGAAGCATATGAAAATTCTGGTAAGAAATTCCATTATAAAATGCCAGTAACTGTAGTGGCTTCTGTTAGTGATTTACACACAGGTCCTCGTTAGTGTCTGTAGCAGGGAGAGTGAGGACAGAACAAGCTCTTGTCATTCGAAGGCAAGAATACTTTGGTTGCTGGTTTGTCTGGGTGAGATTCAGTGATTCCTTTAATAATCATGCTCCACTGCAGACAAACTGAGGTGATTTGTTGTTTCTGCCTGCCAAAAGAGCTGCTGTCTCTGGGGCTGGTGCATACATTCCCCAATTCTGCAACTGATTGAAACTACAGGGAATAGCTATCAGCTTTTCCAGGTGACATTTCCCCAGGATGTGTTACTATTGTGCTTGTACCTCACCAAAAAGGGTTGACACGTCTTGGCTGCTCTGAGCATAGTCTGCTACATGAAACCATCGTGTGCGCCTGCCATCTGCTCAGTGGTGTGGGCTGTGAATCAAATTTTGAAAGCAGAAGTACTTAAGATAAATGTGGATCCATCTGTATTAAGTGTCACTGTACAAAATGGTACAGCAAGAGGAAAAAGAAGAAAGGACTATGATAGTCATCTTACAATTGATAGCTTAGTTATAGTTGCTTTAGCTGTAATGAATTTCCAAAATAACTCTGAATTTACAATGTGGCATTTTATAAATGTGCTTTTATTAGAAGTTTTTACTGTGCATTGCTCAAATTTTGGCAGCATGAATGAGGTTTAATTTTTAACGTGTGTTTTACTGATTATAAATACCTTAAATACTTACATTTTTTCTCCTCAAAAATTTGGCTTACCTGATTAAATTTAATAACCTTTAAAACAAGATAGCACTGTGGGCTGGCACCAGGCATATTTTAATTCAAGCAGAAAGTCTCACCTTCCATATACCTTTTTGGTGTGCTTCTGTCTTGTCTTGCTCTGCGACATCCATGCTTTCCACTCTTTCTTGGCCTCTTTTAAGGAATGATTGCGAATTGCATCTGGAGGTGGAAATGATAAAGCTGTTAAAAGGTGGGCAAGTACTAAGTTTAGTCTATGTCTCAGGCTTTGAGTACAGTACTTCAGAACAGTCCAATGAAAAAACTGTACAAATACTTAGATTTGTAAAGTTCCACCGTTTATCACTAAGTTTCTAAGTTAATTAACTAACCTACTACTGCCACTTCAAAACTCATCTGTACAGCTTTCAGTAAAAGGGTTTTCCCTATTATCTTCTGACACTTATCTTTTTTCTTTTTTCTGTCTGTGTTCTGCTCTCTCTAAACTGTTACAAGTATACAGGACAAACAGGAATGTTAAAATTGCTTGGTAAGTTGAGGAAAATAACTCTATCTATGGCATGCCAGCTTATGACAATGTAATGTTTGCAGTGCTTTTCATGTGTGCCTAGTGCTGTATAGTTTCTAAGAAACCTTTTGCAGCCAAGGAAATCTAGACAGACAAAAATGTACATTCTCACACTCGTAATCACGCTTGCACCCACAGTTTCATTACAAAGAGAAAAGAGATTACTCATTTATATAGGTAGACAGTCTCTGTTTTGTTTTATGATTGAGAAAAATTGCTCAGGTATATATAGAAAAAGATAATCTATATATAAATAAACTATAATTCATCCAGCAGTTAAGTTATCTGAGCATAAACCTGAGAATTAATTTCTAAACAAATAGATTGGGATGGAAGAAAAATTTCCAGATTTGACTTCCAGTGTTGTGCATTCTGAAGTACATACATCTGTTCCTGTAAAAATGCTCTGTAGATATTTGTGAACAGATGGGGACCTATAAAATAATTTATTTTACTGTTTGTTTGAATTCGGTGATCACTCAAGCAGCCGTGTAGCCCTGTGATGTTTCTAATGTGCTTGCTTGGGCTCTTTCTTAACAATTGAGTGTTCCCCAAAGAACCTAGCGTTAGAGCTAGGTCTGGGCAAAAAATCTCTGTGGTTTAGTGCGAGTGCTGTGAGCCACCTGTACGTTTTGTGCTCTGCATCCACTAAAGACAATGGAAGCTTCTTTCCAGTGCTGAGTGCAAGGATGTTCAGGCTTAGATTAAATTCTCTGCAATACAAGGTTCAGTTTCTCCTCTGAACGCATGTCGAACACAGGTGCAATTGAGGTGGTAAAACAGCAGAAAACAAACCGAATCTCCTTGACTCCCCCTGCCCAGTCCTTGATTTGCTCATTTTCCGGTTTCCACTTTCCTCCTGCACCCCAAGCAGTGCATGTGTGTTGGGGGTGAGCGTGGTGGAACAACCTCAGGAGAGCAGCAGGAGCCGTGCAGTCACCTGCTCTGCATGAATGAGAAATTCCTTCATCTTGGGGAGATACCAGAGGAGCTTTGCCAGCCACCAGAGGTTCAGTTTCTATTTCCTAGATGGGCAGCATGAGCTCAGTGGACCTGGGACGTTACCTAACACCATTCTCCCAGTGACTCAAAGAAATAAAGAGGAGAGGGTGTATTTTTACTCACTGTAAGATGACGTGCGCAGAAAACTGAAGCTGCCCAGTCCAAGGCTCAGAAACAAGAAATGAGGAAGTCCAAGGATAAAGGATGCCCCTTCAGCTTTGATTTGGTCCTTAGAAAGCCTCTAGCCCCATATCCATGTGCTGCTTTCTCATATTCAGAAAATTTTGGTTCTCTCTTTGGGCTGTCCACTTTTGTATTCAAATCTTCCCACTTCTGGATCCCCTCTCTGGCTTCCCTGCCAGTATCCGTGTGCAACCAGAGATTCCCACCCCTTTTTCTCCCTGCCTCCTTTCTCCCAGTATCATCAGTTCAGCAAAGACCCAAGAGCCATGGCTGGAGCGTGCCTAGCACTCACTGAACACTTGCAAAATGAGGGGTTTTTTCCAATTTTTTAACTCCAATATGTATCTATTTTGGTTTTGCATAAAAGTAAGGAAACAATTCTGAAAAATATCACCCTGTCCCCATGTGTGAGTCCACAGGCATTTCTTAATGAAATAGTTATTAAAAGGATAACAAGCCTCCTCATTGTAGACTCCTCTTTCTTACCTGAAACTTTTCCCCAAGAAATTCAGCTTGAGGCAGGCACTTGGCTTAGGTGGTTGAAGTGGCCAGCTTCAAATGCTTCTTACCAGGTGTGCCGGGCAGGAAAACGTCGGGAAACCCTGCCGTCAGGAAGGAAGGGGCAAATAGATGACATTCCTCAAAGTGGGACTGGCTTGTAGGGAGGAATATCTTCCAGCAGGTGACACTGTCAGGAAGAATGGGTTTGAAGAGACAACAATGCCTTCCCTCGTTGTGATTTAATATTCTGCTAACGTGTAATGCATGCTAGAAGAGTTTCTTACAAATTCTTTTCCACTGTATTTTTTGTTTTTAAATATGTCAGCTACAACATACTGTATGTTAAATATGTTTGCATCTCCTCAGCTGCCTGTCTGGAGCTTTTTTCTTTTTTTTTTTTTTTTTTTTTTTCTTCTTCCCCCATCCCTCTCCTATCTCTCTTTATTTTGTGTGCATCTTTACTCTGACTCAGATTGTCAGCGCTCCTGGCCATCCTTTTCCACAGACCAGCAGTCTTCCAGCGTTCCTTCCTCTCCAGGTAAAGCTCATCATATTTCATTGCTCCATCACCTTTGTTAATTACTAAAACTTTGCGATGCTCTGTCTGGAGTTGCCTGCTGTGACACAGAAATTTATGGTGCTGGTTTTTAAAGAAAGCATAGGCATGTCAGTAGAATTTTGAGTTTGAAAAGTTGCTCGGGTTGTAAACTGCAATTAAAAGCTGAAAACTCAAGGAATACGTGTTACATTTTGGCAGGGCATTATTTACTGTTATAAAGTATTTTATTTATTATAGTAGAGACTTTGTAAATTACAATGCTATAATTATTTCATGGAATGATCCAGCCAGTCGCACAGATAAAGATTTCTAGGGAGGTGTGACAATGTCCCTACAATCCCTACAGAATTGTACTAGGTTTTATTCTCTGTAAAATTCATTTACAGTGATGTATAAATACAATAGTGGTTTCATTTATATGCAAATTTTGTGGCTTCTCTAACAAATGTTACAACCGTACTGGAAAAAGCACTTAGGGTTCTTAGAGTCTAGCAGAATTTAGGAGCCTGAGTTTAAACACGAAATCTGTAATACTCTCCCTAACTTCTCGGAGGCATGAAAGTGTTGTTATATGAGTAAATTTCCCACTAAAAACTTTCAATACCTGAAGTTTTGTGAAATGGCTTTCCCACTGAGGACCTCATCTTGGATGAGCTGGACATCTTGCCACCTGTCTCGTGCCTGGGCTCACAGATGAAGCATCCTCGTGCCCAAGTGTGGAAGGGACTGGGAACCAGCAGACCAGCTCAGCGTTGGCTGGAGCTGGCTGCTCGCTGTGGAGATGCCTAGGCTCCTGTGATGATCTAGGCCTGGTTTCTTGATCTTAGTCACAGTAATTGCACCCTAGGAACTGGTATTCTAAACTAAAACATGAAGTAGAGTTGAAATGAAAAGGATCTGATTTTGTCAGTGAATTCCAGCCCCGCACTGCTGGTGTAGAGCCCTGCTCTGTGGTGTGGCTGGCTGTTGTGCAGTAAGGTGGGTAATGCATGAAGCTGCCTGTGATACAGATACTCTGCGTTCTAGAGTATGAGAGGTATGAATTAGAAAAAAAAAAATATTAGCTTTACATCTTCAGCAGAAGTTGAAATTCTTTGGGCAGAAGAAGAGTTAGTTTTACATTTCACGAACTCTGCGGTATATGCAGTTTTTTGGTAGTAAGTTTTGTTTTCAGTGTTCTGTTAAAGTGTACATTATTGCAGAGATCCAAACGAGTGGTAGACCTTTTCTACAAAAAGCCAACTGGTCTTGCTTTAACTGTTATCTGCATGTTTCCTCGCAGTGAAAAAAAGCCCGACGTTTTTAGATGTGAACACAGGACCCTTCATCAGGACCAACAGCTTTGCCGATGAGCTCGACCTGGAGGGTGAGACACTGCTGACCCCCATAACTCACATCTCACAGTAAGTCAAGGCTGTTGAATTGGGCGTTCGTTGCCTTAGACAAGAGAAGCCAATTCAGGTGGGAGGAGCTGAAATATGGAGCTGATAGGGCTATCGCAGATATTTGCCTCAAACTCTTTTTACCTTGAAGTTGGTGTAGACTGTTCTGAGTGCCAGTAAATCTTCATGTTGACCTAAAGAAAAGTTCACTTGGCTGTGACACAAGGCTTTAGTTTTTAGCTAATGTCTCTGGGCAGCTGGTGGTTGATAGCCTCAAGATTCTCACATGGAGACAATGTGTGGGAGTACTCGCCTGTTGAGGATTATATGACTCGCTCCACCGTTCTCCACTGGAACAGCTGTAAACTGCAAATTTTGAAATACTACTTACATGAAATACCAGCCTTTCCATTTCAGCAGCACCTTCTCTAATGGTCAAATAGTGATCTGTATTGGAAGAAAAGATCTGTTTTGATCTTTATTATTGCTTTGTAGTGTATAAAAATTATCTGAAATAGGCCTGTATTTTTTATTTTGTTGTTTTTTCCCCTTTAAAATAAGATTCTCCGTGTCTTGAGTGCTAAAATGTTATCTCCAGGTTCTCAGATGATTCTAAAAAAATAGAGAATTGCAAAAGATTTTTATTCAGATATCTTAAAAAAAAATCTTATTTGTTTAATTCAAACTCCTGACAAATGCTTATTGCTTACCATAGTAGGTGTGTGGCAGTATGATCTCCAGGAGAGAAATGAGAGAATTTTCCCCCTCCTATTCCTAGAAATCTGAGGATTTCTGCAGTGAAACCACATATAAAAATTCTTGGCATAGTTGTATTTCTGAGATACAAAACATGCAGAAATGCCTGCTGCTGATTTTAAGGCCTTCTTCCTGTACAGTATAAATAGCAGAGAACACAAACATACTTTTTATAGCCACTGTAGAAGGGCAGTTTTTTAAAAAGTAGGTTTGGGGGGAAGTGTTCCCTTCCCACAAACAAAAGGACTTACTTTTTCAGCTGAATCAACCTAATGTATGTGTACTTGTAGGCAGAGAATTTGGGAGACTTGTATTCTGGAAGATTTCTTGGTGGTATAAGCAGGAGGAGGAAGTCATAAATTTCCTCAAGCCTTAGACAAGCACAACAGAGCAGCAAAACCAGATCTAGAAGTTGCCTTTGCATAGCTTTTTTTAAACTTCGATTTACCACAACATTGCAGGCTTTCTTTAAGAAAAGTAAGCTTTGGTGCTAGGAGTTTTCATTATCCTTTTCGAATCTGTGAATGTTTTAGTTATCAATGAAGGTGACAATGAGAAGTAAATTTCAAGTAGTAAGGTGCTCCCTCACTTTGAAGTCCAACTTGTGTAACAGCTGAATTTTTCTTTTTCTGTGGACTACTTGTAGGAGACCTTAGGATACAGGTAATGTGTATCAGCTGATGAACCTTACCAAATTAACGTCCAAGACTTTCAGTAACTTATATATTTCTCTTTTGCTTCCTAAATTTCTGGTTGTAACCTTTGCTGAAATCTCCCTGGATTGCTCTAGGTCATGAGTGACGGGATGGTACAGACATGTCCCCACGTATGGCTTGAACTGAGTCTCTGCTAGGGTGGAAGAAAATGGAAGGCATTGTTTCTTTTAAGACTTTGGGTTTAGATTCAGAAGTGGATAAACTGGATAAAATATTAGTTGAAATGTGTCTCTTTGAAACATGGGTGCCCAAATGTTGTAGAGTTGCTGGGTGCTGAGGAGCCGTCAATTTCCATGAATTATTTAGACAAGGGTTCTTTTGCACTCTTCATTTCAAAGTCCTAGGGAGCAGATATGTATGAGCTGGTTGCACATGTTAGTAGGACCTGCATGTTAGAGGTGTGGGCATAGAATTAAGGATGAAATTTCGAATTGTGCAATAGATAAATGTCTGTGTGCAAAGCCACGTACTAATTTTCTGTATAATACAAATGGTTAGTCGTTTCAGATCCATGTCGGAGTGTGTTTTTAATTCAGGCTTTGAAAGTTATGTTGTGCCTGAGAGAATCTAGGATGAATTATTTTGTTCTGATGTCCCCAGTTCAAAAGTATTTTATTTCTTGAAAGCCATCATATATACAGTATGATAGCTCCAGATTTGTTGATAAGGAAATAAGCAACCATATGCAAGTCTAAACCCAAATACTTCACAAAAATACAACACCAGCTATGAAAGCAGTTTAGTATGGAAAAGTCAAATGAAATGCAAATGAAAAAGGTCTTAGAAGCAATTCATACCCTACCAGAGGAACAGAAGCATGGAGGGAGTTTGAGAAGTTGAAGCATAATATAAACCACTCAATCTAAGGATGCTTGGGTTTGGGATTCATAGAATTATTTCCTGGCCAATTTTACATTTATTGCAGCATATGAATTAGCTTATCCATAAACCACAGAAAGGTGACTCCAGAATAAACTTTATTTTTGTAAGTCATAAATACATGAGTAAATGTTACACAGCTCATTGGAGTCATGCAACTGGGAAGTGACTTTTGGTTGGCAGTATGAAAAATACTTCTTTTTGAGAGGTAGGGTAATCTGGCAAAAGTGTGGGGTACCTACTGTGTTACTGGCAAGCAAACACTTGGCATCATTGTGGCTTAAAAAAAGTGTGAGGCTGAGTTTGTTTCTTCGCTTACGTTAGGTCATGGAAAGCAAATGCCATCCTTCAGCCCTCATGACAAAAGGCTTTAGGCTTCCAGTCCTCAAGTCCCCTTTAAATTGAATTTCAGCGCCCTGCTTGTTTGTGCAAAAATTATTCTCTTTGTAAATGTGTTATATATAATATATATATTCCCACCGAATTTAATAGGACTGGTTTTGTGTCTGATAATAAAAATGCAGGTGTGGGGGTTTTGCAGGACATACTTCTGGCTGTATTTAAAATCTGTTTTGAAATAAACATTGTACTAAATGTAGCCCTATTTCTGTGGAATTAGAAATGGGGAATCTTCCCTGTGGAGAGATTGCTGTACCAGTTAATCGTTTGTCACTACCACTTTGAAGAAACAAAAATAATAATAATGGTGGTTGTGGTCTGTTCTGTTGTAAAGGTGAGATGGGGAACTAGGCTGCAGCAATACCACACCTCTCCTCTGCACTTCTCACTCTCTTCTCTCCCTCGAATCAGTGCGTTCCCATATTGTCTCCTGTTCCTTGTTCCACTTCGTTGGGTCTTTTGTTCTATTTGTACTTTAAAGCAGAGGAAAATCGATGCTACTTGTAGCTGAGCCTCAGCTACCAAGAAAGAGTTCTTCCCCTGTGTTCATATCACTGTGTAATTTCAGCACCTTTTTCAACTTCACATTTGGCATTAGCTGGAGTAGGAAAAGAAATTAACCATAAAATGGGAGGGAGAAGTGGGTGGAATTGAGCTGAAGAAGGGAGAGAAGAAAATAATGAAGAATTCTCAATCTAATATATCTTTATATAAGTATTTCTCACCTCTTTAAAGATGTTTCAGAAGAGCTCTACATTCTCCATGAATCTCTCACAAATGCTACTGAATCAGAAGTAAGGTCATGGCTGTTATTTTTATAGTTTCGCATTCTTGGGGCTCAGCAACTCATTAGACAGTGGTTTGTTGAATCAGTTCTGATGTAGAGATATTTGGTATTTCTTTCTGTGTCTTGGTAAAAGTACATTTTTAGGGAAGTACTATCTCTAAATGCATTGTAAATTTACTGCAGAAATTGAAACATAAAGGTAATCTCTGGATACTGTATTGAAACTCTTTATCTATTAAAAATAGCTTAATTTTTCAAAAAGTGTAAAGAAGCTGGGGAGACCCCTTGAACAACTCGTACCTGGTTCTGTCACCTTGAGTATCACACCAAACGAGTACTCGCTGCCTGACGGTATAAACCAATGTACTCTCTGACTATGCAAATTGCTGGCAAAATTCTTGATCTTTAAATGGTGAGTATGGTATTACTTCATATACATCCTCCTAATTTTTTTGGAAGAATTACTGTGGATTCAGCTGACTTCAGGGAATGTATTTCTTGCTGAAAGCAGTTGCTAACATTGCACATTTGTGATCCCGTTACTGTCGATGTGGTCAAAATAACAATAATTCTTGATGGTTTTCCCCATATGTTACATGTACCTCTTCATTGGGGAGATGAAAATACACTTAATTAGTTAAGGATTGGTTTTGTCAGTATATGTGTGATTTTTTTCAGTGGAGGCTTTCTTGCACCGGCATACTGCTGTGATTTAATACAGTGGGCTTCCACTAAAATAAAGCATTAGACTAAAAACAAAAAACACTTTCTTTTTTTTAAGTGTATTCTTATCCTGAAAAAATTCAGTGTTATGACATCGCTTTATCTTCTCTGCTATCTCTGTCAGTGTCTCAGATGTGGTAGAGAGCCCTCCAGGCATTGTATTAGGGGTAAATGGGCGGCTCTAAGGGTGGAGGCGATTTTAAACATAAACCCATCTTTGCTAAACAGATAGGTGGAATAATTAAGCAAACAAATGTAGGGCTTTTTAATATTTTCCAGATAAAGAGGAAGTGATAACGGATGGATCTTTCTGAATGATTGATATGAGTGCTTTTGAAGACTTTGAAATATAATTGAAATAATTGCAATGAAGTGTGCTGGTAAACGCCGAGTGCAGTGTCCATGGTGCTGCAGTTACCACTGGCTTTTCTTGGAAATAATATTTTCTTTCTTTTTTTCTTTAATATTTTTATTAAGTGTTCTGTGTTTTAATTGTCAGCATATATTCTGTTGCCATGAAATAGCAGCACATTGCCTAGAACAAACGGTGCTGAATGTGCTGTATAACTGCCTCTCTTCAGTTGGATTATCAGTGAGTGGAATCCCTACTTGCTTTGTTTTTCCAGCTCATATTGTAAAAGATTCCTGCTTTTATCTTCCTCTTCTATACCAAAATAACCCTCTGAAGTCTGAGCAAATATTTCTTTTTCACTCTCGAGTGGCCAGCTGTAGCGTCTGACTTCTGCTGCCACAAGAATTCTCTCT